CCAACATTGCCAATCAGTGTTGCGATGCCAACATTGCCAACCAGTTTTTCAATGCCCGCATTGGTAACTAGTGTCGCGATGCCCACATTGGCAACCAGTGTTGTGATGCCAACATTTCCAATTAGTGTTCTGATGCCAACATTGCCAATCAATGTTGTGATGCTCACATTTCCAATTGGTGTTGTGATGTCAACATTACCAATCAGTGTTGTTATGCCAACATTACCAATCAGTGTTGTTATGCCAACATTGCCAATCAGTGTTGTTATGCCAACATTGCCAATCAGTGTTGCGATGCCCACATTGCCAACCAGTTTTTCAATGCCTGCATTGGTAACTAGTGTCGCGATGCCCACATTGGCAACCAGGGCTGTGATGCTCACATTTCCAACCAGTGTTGCGATGCCTACATTGTCAACCAGTGTTGTGATGCCAGCATGGCCAATCAGTGTTGTGATGCCAACATTGCCAATCAGTGTTGTGATGCTCACATTTCCAATTAGTGTTGTGATGTCAACATTATGAATCAGTGTTGTTATGCCAACATTGCCAATCAGTGTTGTGATGCCAACATTGCCAATCAGTGTTGCGATGCCCACATTGCCAACCAGTTTTGTGATGCCTACATTGCCAACAGGTGTAGTGTTGCCAACAATGTCAACCAGTGTTGTGATGCCCACATTGCCAACCAGTGTTGCGATGCCCACATTGCCAACCAGTATTGCAATGCCCTCATTGGCAACCAGTGTTGTAATGCCAACATTGCCAATCAGTGTTGTGATGTCAACATTACCAATCAGTGTTGTTATGCCAACATTACCAATCAGTGTTGTTATGCCAACATTGCCAATCAGTGTTGTGATGCCAACATTGCCAACCAGTGTTGGGATGCCAACATTGCCAATCAGTGTTGCGATGCCCACATTGCCAACCAGTTTTGCGATGTCTACTTTGCCAACAGGTGTGGTGTTGTCAACATTGTCAATCAGTGTTGTGATGCCAATATTGCCAACCAGTGTTGCGATGCCCATATTGCCAACCAGTTTTGCAATGCCCGCATTGGCAACTAGTGTTGTGATGCCCATATTGGCAACCAGAGCTGTGATGCTCACATTTCCAACCAGTGTTGCGATGCCCACATTTGCAACCAGTGTTGTGATGCCAACATTGGCAATCAGTGTTCTGATGCCAACATTGCCAATCAATGTTGTGATGCTCTCATTGGCAATCAGTGTTCTGATGCCAACATTGCCAATCAATGTTGTGATGCCCACATTGGCAATCAGTGTTGTGATGCCAACATTGCCAATCAGTGTTGTTATGCCAACATTGCTAACCAGTGTTGTGATGCCAACATTGTCAATCAGTGTTCTAATGCCAACATTGCCAAGCAGTGCTGCGATGACCACATTGCCAACCAGTTTTGCGATACCCACATTGGCTACCAGTGTTGCGATGCCCACATTGGCAGCTAGAGCTGTGATGCTCACATTTCCAACCAGTTTTGCGATGCCTACATTAGCAACCAGTGTTGCGATGCCAACATTGTCAATCAGTGTTCTGATGCCAACATTGCCAAGTAGTGCTGCGATGACCACATTGCCAACCAGTTTTTCAATGCCTGCATTGGCAACTAGTGTTGTGATGCCCACATTTCCAATTAGTGCTCTGATGCCAACATTGCCAATCAATGTTGTGATGCTCACATTTCCAATTGGTGTTGTGATGTCAACATTACCAATCAGTGTTGTTATGCCAACATTACCAATCAGTGTTGTTATGCCAACATTGCCAATCAGTGTTGCGATGCCCTCATTGCCAACCAGTTTTTCAATGCCTGCATTGGTAACTAGTGTCGCGATGCCCACATTGGCAACCAGTGTTGTGATGCCAACATTTCCAATTAGTGTTCTGATGCCAACATTGTCAATCAGTGTTCTGATGCCAACATTGCCAAGCAGTGCTGCGATGACCACATTGCCAACCAGTTTTGCGATGCCCGCATTGGCAACTAGTGTTGTGATGCCCACATTTCCAATTAGTGTTCTGATGCCAACATTGCCAATCAATGTTGTGATGCTCACATTTCCAATTGGTGTTGTGATGTCAACATTACCAATCAGTGTTGTTATGCCAACATTACCAATCAGTGTTGTTATGCCAACATTGCCAATCAGTGTTGCGATGCCCACATTGCCAACCAGTTTTTCAATGCCTGCATTGGTAACTAGTGTCGCGATGCCCACATTGGCAACCAGTGTTGTGATGCCAACATTTCCAATTAGTGTTCTGATGCCAACATTGCCAATCAATGCTGTGATGCTCACATTTCCAATTGGTGTTGTGATGTCAACATTACCAATCAGTGTTGTTATGCCAACATTACCAATCAGTGTTGTTATGCCAACATTGCCAATCAGTGTTGCGATGCCCACATTGCCAACCAGTTTTTCAATGCCTGCATTGGTAACTAGTGTCGCGATGCCCACATTGGCAACCAGGGCTGTGATGCTCACATTTCCAACCAGTGTTGCGATGCCTACATTGTCAACCAGTGTTGTGATGCCAGCATGGCCAATCAGTGTTGTGATGCCAACATTGCCAATCAGTGTTGTGATGCTCACATTTCCAATTAGTGTTGTGATGTCAACATTACCAATTAGTGTTGTTATGCCAACATTATGAATCAGTGTTGTTATGCCAACATTGCCAATCAGTGTTGTGATGCCAACATTGCCAATCAGTGTTGCGATGCCCACATTGCCAACCAGTTTTGCGATGCCTACATTGCCAACAGGTGTAGTGTTGCCAACAATGTCAATCAGTGTTGTGATGCCAACATTGCCAACCAGTGTTGCGATGCCCACATTGCCAACCAGTTTTGCAATGCCCTCATTGGCAACCAGTGTTGTAATGCCAACATTGCCAATCAGTGTTGTGATGCCAACATTGCCAATCAGTGTTGTGATGCTCACATTTCCAATTAGTGTTGTGATGTCAACATTACTAATCAGTGTTGTTATGCCAATATTACCAATCAGTGTTGTTATGCCAACATTGCCAATCAGTGTTGTGATGCAAACATTGCCAACCAGTGTTGTGATGCCAACATTGCCAATCAGTGTTGCGATGCCCACATTGCCAACCAGTTTTGCGATGCCTACTTTGCCAACAGGTGTGGTGTTGCCAACATTGTCAATCAGTGTTGTGATGCCAATATTGCCAACCAGTGTTGCGATGCCCATATTGCCAACCAGTTTTGCAATGCCCGCATTGGCAACTAGTGTTGTGATGCCCACATTGGCAGCCAGAGCTGTGATGCTCACATTTCCAACCAGTGTTGCGATGCCCACATTGGCAACCAGTGTTGTGATGCCAACATTGGCAATCAGTGTTCTGATGCCAACATTGCCAATCAATGTTGTGATGCTCTCATTGGCAATCAGTGTTCTGATGCCAACATTGCCAATCAATGTTGTGATGCCCACATTGGCAATCAGTGTTGTGATGCCAACATTGCCAATCAGTGTTGTTATGCCAACATTGCTAACCAGTGTTGTGATGCCAACATTGTCAATCAGTGTTCTAATGCCAACATTGCCAAGCAGTGCTGCGATGACCACATTGCCAACCAGTTTTGCGATACCCACATTGGCTACCAGTGTTGCGATGCCCACATTGGCAGCTAGAGCTGTGATGCTCACATTTCCAACCAGTTTTGCGATGCCTACATTAGCAACCAGTGTTGCGATGCCAACATTGTCAATCAGTGTTCTGATGCCAACATTGCCAAGCAGTGCTGCGATGACCACATTGCCAACCAGTTTTGTGATACCCACATTGGCAGCTAGAGCTGTGATGCCCACATTGTCAATCAGTGTTGTGATGCCAACATTGTCTATCAGTGTTGTTATGCCAACATTGCCAACCAGTGTTGCGATGCCCACATTGCCAACCAGTTTTGCGATGCCCACATTGCCAACCAGTTTTGCGATGCCCACATTGCCAACCAGTTTTGCGTTGCCCACATTGGCAACCAGTGTTGTGATGCCAACATTTCCAATCAGTTTTTGGATGCTCACATTTCCAACAAGTGTTCTAGTCAGAATTTAGAAGATTATAAAGCCAACCAGTGCTGTAATGCTCATTTGATAAGCGCCGTGATATACATTGGAAGAATATGTAAGACAGCTTGCAGTGGCGAGAAATAGGCGCCAGCTCATAATATTGATATGGCGCAGATTCGTGACTAATGGGACAAGTAACCAGCGTAGTCGCCGCGTGCAATTTTCATCCTGAGTAATATCGTATCGAACTGAACCGCCCTCACCGTCGTTATTACTGACATAATAAATTATTTTGGTTCTGAGTGTAAATCTGTTTCCATGGTGACACTCTCGTGCCTTCATTATTAATAACACAATCGACTTATCAGAACAAAGCTTAAATCGCCAGTCGCAGACCAGCAACTTCATATTATTTGTAACTTAGTACATGTGTTTTAATCTACATTGGTACAATGTTGGAGATAAGCGATCACACTGCACGCTTCCCATAAAGCCGCGTCCATGTCTGGATTAAACCCCACCTTCAAATAGGAATTCGCTACTTTATTTTCCAATTATGATGTTCATATCTTCTAGATATTATTTGTTATAACCGTGCTTATCTAGCGTCAGTAAGGGATTCACGTACACTCCCATTAGAATTAACGCCCTGTTTCTTACTATAGTTATGCTATAAGCTTGTGTAGGAAATAATAATTACATTATAACTACTTCCGTCATCGAATAAACGCCATAGTAGTGCGCTTGCGCATGTTTCTATCAAGTGCGCTTAAATATGCCTCTACTGCTTGACTATGTTCAAGATAAGTGACTCAGTTTGTGACGTTCTCTCGACAGATCTGCTAACATGTGGCTGTTCAACAAGTACAAGACTGACACTGAAGGACAAGAAAACGAAGATGGTCCTAGGGCAACATTCGGCCCAACACGTCTGAAAATCAGCGGTCAAGTCATGACACCGGAGACAATCCCAGAATTTGTGATCCCACAGTTTACACGGCAGGAAAAACATGGACGAGAGAATTGCAACGGTGAAGATTACGATGAAAACAGTGCAACGATCCAAAGCATGTGTTCACGGCCAAACAGTCCGATGTTGTGCGATCCGTCCTGCGATACCCTACCTAGCCCTCATAGTCCGATCAGTCCATACAGCCCACAAAGCACGCGTAGCTTTCGGTTTGAGAGTTGTTCAAGTCAAGACGGCGATAATATAGAGAGTTCACGTGCCTCTTTAACTCTTCCCCATTTACCAATTTACTCTCCGACTCAAAGCAGAAGCCGTGATTACCACATTCATTCCGACTCATCCAGTCCAGCCGAATCGCCACTAATTTGCAGAACTAGGCGTAAGTTTCCAACAGCAGATGACCACGGTGTATTCGGCGGATTGCCAAGTCCACTAAGTGATTCGTCGGAAAAAGAAAACAATTTGGTTTATACACCGAAGACTGACAGAAAAAGCTCATTTTCGCCGCTTATTAAGTTACGAGCTTTCCGTAAACAGGCTTTGTCAACCAGTACAGAGTCGCCCAACTCTTCCCCTGTATCATCTCCTGCTCTGAGGGTCCGTTCGTGTATGACCAATCTACCGAAAGATCGTTCTAAGAGAAAGTCGCCGAAAAATGTGCGTCGACCACGCAGTCTGTACGAGCGCAGACGTTCATCCTTAGAAGTCTCGTTATTTTCTGAGTTTTCAGAATTTTCTTCCACGGATGCTAGTTCAGTCGAGCCAAGTCCTGTCGTGTTACGACGTAATAGTAGTGATATTGGCCAGTGTAGATCAGCTATGTTGGCGTATCGTCAAAACATGCGCCGTAATGTTCAACCGCACGCTGAGTGGCTAGTGCATCGCCTTCAAAAGCAGTGCTCCGTTGATTTTGGGGAATTGAAGTTTGCCCTGGAATATTTCTGGGAGAAAAGGGAATTGAAAGTTACGGTTCTTAAAGCTGAACGCATTGGAAACCAATATTTACTCTCGCATAACTGCAGTTCGTACTTAAAGCTGTACATCATGCCTGGTAAACAGCAACGGAAACATACTCGCACAGTGAAACGAACAAGAGATCCCATTTTCAATGAAGAATTCTATTTCCATGGGCTCAATGCGAGCGATCTTCGTCATTTGAAGCTACGCATGAAGCTGTTTAATAAGGGGTCGAATATAAAGAGAGACGAATTTTTAGGCGAGGTGCAGGTGTTGTTGGGCACATTGGATTTCTCACAGGAAACTCGTATGTGGAAGGATTTACAGCCGAAGACAGACATAGAGGTAAGACAGGAAATCTCACATTTTATTGTCACTGTCCATGTTCTCCTATTACGATATTTTTTCTCGGAATCATCCAGCCGACCCCTCAGTTATGACAACATTTTAATAAATAAAATGTAATAGACAAAAACATGGTTTCGGGGGTTATACTCAGACAGTGGAATAAACAGTCAAAATATTATACCTGAAAAACAAATTGATACTAGTCGCATTTTATTATGGTTATTTTGTATTATTATTATAGTAGTTGTAATTTTGTTCCCTGAAAGCAACATTTTCGTTTATAACGTGTACTTTAATTACGTTACAAGCAAGAGACACGGTGTAATGTACATTCCCTAATTATATCATGTCAAGTTTGCTCTAACCCCCCCCCTTCCAGAGAAAATGAATTTCAAGTATAACTACAATTTTTCTAAATATATTTCGACAAGCTTGTTTCGCAGACTATGTCGTACAAGTGCAGTTTTTTTAAATAGTTCAATTAATTTGCAGATTGATTGGAGATATGCATAATGACATAGGTTTCCCCGGTTGCAGCACAAATCAAAAAGTACCCTTAAGCGAAACGCGACTTCTCTACATGGACCGATTTGCATCTAGATATGTCCCTGTCGTTCACAATCTCGTACTGAGTTCAGTTTTAATAGTCCGCAAAATGTATCGAACATTTACATGTAGTAACTGTCATCCTCACGGCGAGATACAATAATTACACATATTAACATAAAATCGTGAAACATTACAAATGCGTTGTTATTCCATAAAGTTGTAACGACTGCGATATCAATTGCACTACGTAACGACTGCGATATCAATTATACTACGTAACGACTGTGATATCAGTAATACGTAACGATTATTATATCAATTACAATACGTAACGACTGCGATATAAATTGCACTGCGTATTGATTGCAATATTATTTATACTAGGTGACGATTGTGATAAAAATTACAATACGTAACGACTGCGACATCAATTATACTTCGTAACGACTGTGTTATCAGTTATACTGCGTAACGATTATTATTTCAATTACAATATGTAACGACTGCGATATAAATTGCACTGCGTATTGATTGCAATATTATTTATACTAGGTGGCGACTGTAATATAAATTACAATACGTAACGACTGTGATATCAATTATACTACGTAACGACTGTGATATCAGTAATACGTAACGATTATTATATCAATTACAATACGTAACGACTGCGATATCAATTGCACTGCGTATTGATTGCAATATTATTCATACTCGGTGACGATTGTGATAAAAATTACAATACGCAACGACTGCGACATCAATTATACTACGTAACGACTGTGATATCAGTTATACTGCGTAACGATTATTATATCAATTACAATACGTAACGACTGCGATATCAATTGCACTGCGTATTGATTGCAATATTATTTATACAAGGTGGCGACTGTAATATAAATTACAACACGTAACGACTTCGATATCAATTATACTACGTAACGACTGTGATATCAGTAATACGTAACGATTATTATATCAATTACAATGCGTAACGACTGCGATATAAATTGCACTGCGTATTGATTGCAATATTATTTATACAAGGTGGCGACTGTAATATAAATTACAATACTTAACGACTTCGATATCAATTATACTACGTAACGACTGTGATATCAGTAATATGTAACGATTATTATATCAATTACAATATGTAACGACTGCGATATAAATTGCACTGCGTATTGATTGCAATATTATTTATACAAGGTGGCGACTGTAATATAAATTACAATACGTAACGACTGCGATATCAATTATACTACGTAACGACTGTGATATCAGTAATACTACGTAACGATTATTATATCAATTACAATACGTAACGACTGCGATATCAATTGCACTGCGTATTGATTGCAATATTATTTATACTAGGTGACGATTGTGATAAAAATTACAATACGTAACGACTACGATATCAGTTATACTACGTAACGATTATTATATCAATTACAATATGTAACGACTGCGATATCAATTGCACTGCGTATTGATTGCAATATTATCTATACTACGTAACGATTGTGATACCAATTACAATACGTAACTACTGCGATATCAATTGCACTGCATATTGATTGCAATATTATTTATACTAGGTAACGATTGTGATATAAATTGTACTACGTAACGATTGTAATATCAATTACACTACGTAACGATTATGACATTAATTACACTACGTAATATAACTGAGTGACTATTGTAAAAGCAATTATACTGCGTAACCAACGTCATGTATTATGTATTATGTCAATAATGATATCAATACGGGACAGTTCAAAGACCAGCGTTTAGTTTTAAGTGAAACAACAGAACGGCATGTAAAACCAAATAAACTATGGCGACATTCAAGATATCACAGTATTGATCGAAGCATCAAAATTGTGTTGATAAGAAAACGTAATATTTCACGCTATATGCTAGGAACAATGCACACACCAAATTTTGTGGTACTGCATTACTCATGCTGCAAGACCGTGATATTGAGACCATTCCAAATGAAACCGCAATGTTATAAACACGCTTCCGCTGTCGTGTGCGTCGTGTGCGTCGTGACTTGTCAACAGTACTTGTCACGTTTAGCAAATTCACAAAGTAATTTTGCTCTGGTACGTACAGCGTTTCATGGCATTGTCAAGGACACTGCGATGTCTTAATCGCAAACGTATTTATTTTCTATATATCTCAGGAAAATTACGTTATGACATACAAATATAGCGTTGCTTTGTAATTTGAAACGTTATACATCAAGTCAATAATTGAAGTTTACATTGAGATGCCTTACACACAAAGTAATAATAACACGTGTTTTACAAACACAGAACATTGATCGATTCTTCTATTACTGTATTCAAACAATCTATTATGTGGCGCTTAGATTTGTCACGTGACTTCGCGTACTAAAACTACATCATGTAATCGTATCCTGTGAAATAGTCTGCATATCTTTGTTTGGACTGTTGTTCGTTTATCGTTGATGTGCGGAGACTATTCCATCTGTAGTAGTATTAAGTCGGTTCATTCGTCTCACCAGTAAGAAATCTGGATTTTTCCGTGAGTTACGCGTTCTGTGGCATCTCATCTCAGTGCTGTTCAATGAGGGGCATTCGACCAATGGATAAATAACACTGCAAACAATAAACAGCCTGAATAAGACGTTTTCGTTTAGTCAACAAAACAGGGTGAACGAAAAATAAATTATGGAAGCCAAATTCTAGTACGCTGGGACGTCAGCACGGGCAGCCTATGATGATTTAAATATGTCAGTGAGATCTGTAATTAGTTCTTGTATTCATGTCGCCTAACGATTGGGATCATGAAGAATTAACGCATAATACAATGTAGAAATGTGTTCTTTGTGAAATCAAATCAAATCAAAGCCAAAAATTAACTTTACAGTAAATATAAATGTATAAGTAATGTCATGAGTAGGTATACGCAGATATGACGTAAACGACGAACTACTTCTACATTGAGTACTTATACATAAAACAAATAATGAAATTAAAATAATGAATTGAAAATGGCTTGATGATAAATAAAGCTTGATGAAATACACTGTATCGCATTGAAATGATCCCTAACTCTGTACACTTACTGCATAACATATAGGAGTAGTTGAAATACTGCTAGCACCATGTGGGAGTGCGTTTAAACGAGCTGATTTGTAAGATGGCTATTCACAATCCGTGATTATACCGGTACCGTTATCTCCATAAGACAGTGTATTATATACGCATTTAACAATTTCCATTCGCGCTGGCTCTAGTACTATGAACTTCATTTATTTCGAGAAACATGTTTAAATAATCTGGGGTTAGTTTTTTTTTATTTATCTATCAAAATACATCAACATAAGTAAATGCACTGCCTAATTGGCACTTAGCATATAATATATCCTAATTATGAGTTCTACAGTGACATTTTAAAATAATCTGCATGCCTTTAACCGTTGTATAAATGTGAAATATTATTCTCATTACGCTGATACTATACAGTATTTCAATAGTCAAAGTAAGAATATAAAAATGTGTTATATAACGCATTCTAGTAGGGCAGGTAAAGCTCACTAAAAAAATGTCGTTTATTGAGTCGAGTAAATAGAGCTCAGTTTCATCGTTCGAATTCAAACACTTTTATGTCATAAAAGGTCACGCAATATTTCGACAGGATGCGGCGTTTCTTGCATCGTATGGAAAGTCAGTATACTTTAAACGCATGCCCCTTGGCTGTGTGATCAACAACGTCTTATGCTTTGGTCACGACGAGTGGCTTATTCATACCCATGTATTCAGAGTTATGAAATGTTTTTCTCAATACTTGGCTCAATTGTTCGTCTTGCCTTCCTATGTGCTGTTACACCCACACAAAACGTTGCCCAAACACGCGGCAATGTTATTTCATCACAGCCGTCTAACATAACGATTTCATGTATTGCACATTGCATGAACACATTCATTTGCCATGTCACCCTCCATTGCGTGATAAGTACTGTTTTCTCCTAGTCATTATACATTGTGAGTGCGCTTAAACTCGTAAAAAAATCACATTAAATTGTGTCTAACAACCCTGCGATAGCACTACACAGCGTAATATACTCAAGCCAAGAGGATAACACGCGATAAATCAACCAAGTAACTATGTAAGAGAATGAATCGCGTACACCAACACGCAGCATATGGCAAAATATCTAAGATATAAATAAATACGTTTTTCACCATTTTACGATACTAATAATGTATTGCGTTGCGGTGCGTTGCACTGCGTTGCATTGCATTGTATTGTATTGTATTGTAGTGTATTGTTTCAGTATTGATTTACATGTATATTGTAGTGGAGTGCAGTGTAATGCAGTGTATTAGACACTAAATATGCGATTGTACTTTAGTGCAGAATGGAGGTGGAAAATATACAAAACATGTTGACTAATAATATTTATCTCATTTCTATTTTCACAACTACACAACACGTTGCATCAACATGAAGTAGTGCAAGTATTTATAAAAAGTGTTTATTGGCCTGTAAATATACAAACATATTAACAAATAGTGTAATGTAGTGTAGCGTTGTGTAGTGTAGCAATGTAAAAATATTTAATATTATTATACATCTGTCACTGTAACGCCATAAGTCACAGCGTGCCGTAAGTTTACGGTATTGCACTGGATATTGTCAACCTACCATATTAGGAAACGCGAATTCCAAATATGGAACGATTACGCGCGTAAGCGTCCTCTAATAATAAAAACAAACATGGCAGCCCCCAGGGTTTGACCGGACTCCACACAAAGAAGTTCGCTGAATCTGTTATAAACTTCTCGAATTCGGCATTCCCATGATGTATCATTGTGAGGATAAGATCAAAATATGTACTCAGACAGTACGCCATCGCATCGACCTCCGCTGCGCGTCAGTCGATACTCCGCCGTACTGTATTCGTGCATACTTTTCGGTATCCGCGTAATAACCTTCTATTACACTGAAACTAGTAATTATAGATATATGCATGTATATTTCCTATCGTCATTAGAAATGTAAATTTGTTTTTTTCTTGCTAGAAATCAGTAAAACCGAAATGGAAGTGAAACCATTGGTAAAATACTGTTGTGATACTCGCCTTGATCTCCACTCGCCACCATTAGTTAGTTATCGAATCATTCGTTTTAACCTTATTCTCTTCTCCCTAGAGGAAAGTATCTCATTTTCCCGTGAACTTTGGTCCCTCTAAGGGTTTCATACTATCTTTGATATGGTTTACATCAGGCGCGTCATTGTACGTCAGTACGGTAATGTATTAACGTAAAACATCGCCAAAAACCCTAACAAGCAGACACACATTCAATTGAATTTCAAAATGAGTTAATCCAATCCAGGCGTACGCTAGTTTAATCCCACTGAATGCCACATTAGCTATGTTATTTCAATTGGCGTGATAGTCTGTAAAGTAGCGTCTTGGGAAACACGATTCTAAATAAATATAGCACAATAAATAATCTGAATTCAACTACAGCGTTAATCACAGTGCCATGAATAGAAGATTTGGTTCGAATCTCCTGAGTATTCACGAAGCGGCGACGATCAAAGTCGTAACGTTCAATGTGTATACACGTAGTTGGGTACGCTCATTCCAATGACCGCTTGGGGCTACTAAGCACATGAAAAATCAACTGTTATTATTATTATTCTTACTGGATTTTGTTTTAAAATATTGTATATTATACAAATTTCAAATTTTGTTGTTTACAGCATCGTATTTTCAACTTCCCAACACTCAGTTTGTGTAGTGAAAACACAACAACAAAATATTTCTCCTCGGCCCAAAAAATTAATTATAAAATCAGCTTTTTGACATACACACGCAAAAAAGTGCTATTGAAATAGGAATTTCAAATAGAAATTTTTTTCTCGGTCTGAACGGAAATTCCGTGGAAATTTCATATACAAATATTTCACCTTAATTGTGAAATGGTAAATAGTAAATTGTTATTGCTATTACCCGTAGTTCATGTTTCAGATCACATATTCGAGACGTTGTATCAAACGACACATAAAACTATAACTGCTGTTGACATTGACCAAAGAACAAACACATCGCCTATACAAAGCATGTCTCCACTATTGCCGGCCGAACAACGACAATCGTGCGTCTTTCACGCCAACGTAACTCTGTAAATTTGCATATACGTGTAGGATTGTAATAAAACCGTCATTCACTTTCACTCTCAGTCTCCTGCATGGAACTTTGATTACACAGGTAATTCAGGTCATCACAAAATGTTTTGTAAGACGTCTAACCCTGCCCTCGATAACTTTCATATAGTTTCATACGTATAACTTATAAATAACTGAAAACATCTTGTTTGTTATGTTTTATTACAGGATCTGGGTATGCTCAATGTCTCCGTGTGCTACCAACCTAGGCAGCGACAAATCGTGATTACAATAGTGAGAGCCAAAGATTTGCCTAAAAATAGTATAACAGGAGCCCCTGGTAAGAACTACACATTTTTTTTCTGTTCACAATGTTATTATTAGACACAAAGGGATTGCTTTATTCTGTTATTTATTGAGTATGTAAGTAGCATACGAGATTGAATTGAACTCCTTACGGGTGAATCTTGTGTGTTCGATGATTGTACTTCACACATGGATACAGTACAAGTAGTAATCTCCAGTAGTTCTTCAGTAGTGGATATCAATTATTAGTTTCGCATTAAACTGTATGCATATGTTTTCATTTCCTTGAACACTTCCAATGCTTCCGTTCTATATTTATTGAGACTGTCTTCTGAGAGAATCCCTATTATTACCTCCAGGTCATTACTTTAATTGATCGCACTTCCTGTTCGTGACCAGAACCTTTGTTTAATTTGTACCAAAGTATACGGCTGGGTTTATTTTGTATAAATTTACATGTACGCAACAACAAATATAAATATAATAAATTTATAATACAAATTAAATAATATATTTATAAAAATAAAAAACACGCCATGCCGCACAATGCATCTTATTTGAAGGACGGTGATCGTCGCGCCATGCATCATGATGCGCAAAATATGGGTATCATATAAACAAAGATGGCGACTTTGACTGTTGCGCAGATAAACGAGTACAAACTAAGAGGTTACCAAGCTTTAATTGGGTGTTTGGAAGGTATCGAAGGAGTCGTCGGCGGTGCAATTCGTGCCCAGGTCAAAACTCGTACACATGATTTCATTAGAAGAGTGCATTGTATTGTGGGAAAATCAATGTTTGTCAATACAAATGGCGCACATGCGCGTCGCGACGACCACCGCCCTTTAAATCAGTGTTAACAAACATTCGAGAAATCTCTTAGTGTATTCACAGCTATACTACCATACATGCATTCATTGCACGGACGGTTGTTATATACACGTGACAATAGCTACCGTGTAATCAATCAAACAAGGAACGATTACCAAATATTATCTTCTATTTTCGTCTAGCTATTTTTAATAGTTATTTAGGACTACGATTACCAAATATTATCTTCTATATATCATATTTACCAGTCCGAGCAGCGTTTATTAATTTATAAACAAGGAACGAGTATTAGTAATGGGTACTAGGTATGTGTAAACCATGAGATAAACATATTCGATTATTTATATGACAGAAAACACAGTTCGGGATTAAAATATTTCAAACAAAGTCAATGGGAAACTAACGAATCACTTAGAGTCTAAATCCTAATAATGCCACTTTTAAATCCCTGGCTAGGGCAAGATGATATTCCTGAACTAATGACTGGGGAAATCCCATGTCCATTGAAGCTAACATGACACACCGTAGTTCTGACATTTAAACAAAATTTATCTATCACCATTATTTCAACATTACATACACCCTAAGCTGGTCGTTTTTTGTTCCTCACCAAAACTTGTCATAGTTAGTAATTTAATGTGTTCAATGGAATTAGTGGCATAAAGTTTAAACTAAAAGTCGAAATTAATTAACTGCCAATCACTATGCCTTACGTAATATTACACGGTTAATTCGTCTAGCATCAGGGAGGCTGCTTGCGTTTTGCTCACTAAATTCTAGATGATAAACGACTACACAACAAAACGCAGTTTCAGTTTAAACAACATCGCCTTCACCCATTTACGTTATTTGACGTCACAAACGCACCCCTTCACTGGAGGGCGTGATTTATAGAAATAGTGTCATTCGGCTTTCTCTATCCCATGCGTTGTCACCCTCAGTACACGTTGCGTAACTAAAACAGTAGTGGGTTTATGCATGGGAGAGCGTTAATATTAAAATATAATTATATGATATAAAATTACTAGACTCCTAATTACTACGGGGCAAAATATAGAGCAGTTAGATCCCGAACGCACAAGAACGGTAAACTAAAATCATCGGAACAAGAAAATGTTTCTCAACGGTTGATGAGCTAAACTGGATTGGCATGATTTGGATTTATGCTTGAAACTAAATACCCCCGAAAAAAGGCCGCGAATATTCCGCGGATGATGGCTCGTTTCTCTCTTATCAGTGTAATGGGGCTCGTTATCTACTGTTACGAGTAAATACGCATGCATTCAAATATATGAACGCTACAGTGAAAAAAAACACTGCCCAAGTCGGCCATGATGAAATCAGGTTGTGTCCACCTGCAATGCAATATGTTTTGTTATAAGTTTGATTGGATTGGATTCAGGAAATCATCTTCGTGAAATTAAACGGTTATGAACACATTTTACTTCAAATTGATGTATAACAGTGCTGTTAGTGCTGCAAACCTCAACAAATGAAAACAATATTTCATTTTTTGTATACATCACATTATTGTATGGATTTGCGTTTTTTTGAATATAATAATATAAGTATCTAGAAGGGCTGGATCTTAGCCCTAGCCCTTCTCGGGTTTCTGATCTTACTAACAATTAATGATAATGACAAGAAAAAAACAGGTCACCATGATTTTACATTTGAGCATTTCTAGTGATACTATTTCCGATAGAACCGCTGATCAAAAGGCTAATCCGATATCCGCACCGCTATAGTCGCTGTTAATATTATACCGTTATATGGTTTCGGCATTTCAAGTTAGATGCAAATTAAAAAGGCATTGGAAAAAAGAATATACGCTTACAGACAACCACGTGATAATGTATTGACCAACCAGAGCAACTGTCTTGTTTATGAGAGAAACAGTACTGCGACTGCTTCCTTCGCGCTACATATCACCGGGTATTAGCTTCATCAAGAAATGATTTAAACCGAAGGTAGATGTCCGATGTCTACGCTATTGTAGTAGTGATGAAAACTCGGGAAAATATTAATAATAAATAAAACTGATCGAATTTTGTTGATTGTCAGGGAATACAATAATCTATGATGTGAGCATTCCTTTCGAATGTCAAATGATTCGATTCATCACATTACTGAATCAAAATAGATTTTAAACTAGCGAATGTTGAATGCTTTAGAATTGTCTACTCGTTCACTAAATGTTGAGTATTGGTTATTTGGCGAAAACGAGTTTCATTTCTGCATGTTATTTATTGTTACAGATCCCTACGTGAAAATTGAATTCACCTATAATGACAAGACTAAGGGACACACCATCATGCACAAACAAACACGAGTGAGGAAGAAAACTACAACTCCAGTGTTCAAAGAGGCGTTCACGTTCACAGTTGGTAACAGCATCGTTGACGACACTGACACTCACGTAAGCATCATAATGACAGTATACGACCATGACAGAATTAGATCAGACGAAGCAATAGGAGAAGTTCGGCTTGGCTACCGAGCAACTGAGGAAAGTGAGCTAGATCACTGGCAAGCAATAATGAAGACACCGGATCAACCAGTGCCGACGTGGCATAATTTAATGGAACTCGATGATGAACCATGAATATACGGTTTTATACAAGTAAATGAGAACGTCAAAAATGTTTGTAATGTGTTTTGACCAAATATAAAATGGTTTGTACACCCAGATTGTCGTATGCATATCGACAAAGAAACAAATAATATATATCTTTCCACACGTCTGTACTTTTATTTCATGATTTACCATCAGCTTGAGTCGAAAATGGTCCCACCCAAAATCGGATTTTTGAGACAATAATAAGAGCTAATGTGATAAGACGTCACACAGTCACCGGTAACAAATTACAATCATTATTTAATGATACGGGACGTAAAAAGCCCATGGGACTACAAGATCGTGATAGTGTTAAATTTTCAATCTACTTTATGAAAGTGTAAATGGCAACGTGACATTTCGATATTACACCTAAGTTGATTACTTTTATTATAATTTGGTGTGTTACTGCTTGAGTCAAAAATAAATGAATAACAAATCACAGAGCACTTCAAGTTGCTCAGACAACATAATGACTGGTATAACAAATTGTAGTTTACCATAACACCATTATAGATATCGAATACAGTAACACCGCAGTAACATAACATAACATATTCAACTCTGTATAAATCATAAACATATTACACATCGAATTCAATAATATATCGACTCGAATAACACTGATAGCATCACACACAATATAGCTTCTTCTTCGACTCACTCTTTATAAGTGTATCATTCATATATGACATACTACATTTCGAATGTAAAAACAGCTCTAATCAGAACATGGTTACGTCGTGCAATATAGTTGGTTGGTTATATCTCGCAGAACACTTCGAGTAACTTAATCATTTTCCAATAAATCTATAAATACAATAAAGTCAAGCCGTACACGTGTAGACGTGAAACTCTTACACACACCAACCAGCTGCATGTCTGTCTCCCTATTATATCGTTCTGTATTACTGTCAGGAATATTTCCAATAATACCGTTCCCACAATTCTTAGGAGGTTCTGTACAGATGAAGTGATGAAACTGCTACTGTTTCAATGCAGTTAACCTATCAATCTGATTAAAATCTGATGTAGTGTACGGGCTTTAATTATTTTGGCTATAAACTTATTTTAATTTTATTTTTTATTACTTTTGTTATTAATGCCCTTTTATTTTATTATTTT